AACAAAGAAATCATCTTCTGTATGTCCATTTTATTAGGTTTAATTTTAGTACAATTAGATTGCATATTATTTGAAAATATCAAAAATTATAAAAATGTTGGAAAAGATATTTCTCTAATGGTATATGTTAAAATATGTTCTCCTAAGAAGACATGTTGAAGTGATGATTCTAAATACCACAGATTGTGACATTATTTTAAATCATACACAGAAAAAAATTCATATTGACCTGACCTCCCCTCTAGCTCTTGCCCCCTCTCCATATTGGCTTCACCCTCTGGCCAGAATTGATCACTTCCTTCCTTTATTCTTGGTTATTTCTTACTACTCCTTAACTGTGACCTGCTTAATACCAAGGTCTTTATACCAGAAAATTCAGGGAAAGCATTTGAGGTCTGTTTTTGGAAGCTGACACTCATGCCTTCTTTCTTGAACCTTTCTGGTCCCTAACTTCATAAGAACCCTCCACTTCAATGTTTTGTTTTTCAATCCCTTTTTTGCTTTTCTTTCTGCTTCCACCTCTTTCTCATTTGCACTATGTCCTCTGAATTATTGACTATACAAATTTATTTTCCCAATAACTCACTAATCTGATCTCTATGTGTGACCTTGTGAGAAATCAAGTAGGGAGACAGAAACAAGACTTTTTGAGCAGCCTGAGAGATGAGTCATTCATGAATTCTTCCAGGGATCAGATATTTGACTTCTTTTTTTCATGTAGAATTTGAATATGAGACACTCTTTCCTCTGAGGGTCTCTTACAATGTGGAATGAATTATGTATCCTCTTCCTATGAAGGAAGAACCAATAGAAAACTAAAGATGGAGGTGGAATCAGACTGTTCTTGCGAAGGAACTTTACTCTGACCTTGGGCAAGAAGAGAGTAGTGGCTAAGGCCCTGGTGGAGGCAAGGAGCTTCTGTCAGGACAACATGTCCTCTGCTCACAGATATGATGAACTTGATCCTGGCAGCAGGAATTGATGTGGGCCTGCTATGGAGGGGCCTGTGGGGCTCTCATCTATGAAGTTGCTTCCTGGTCTCTAATTGAGCCCAGTATCCAGGGACTCTCTGGGCACCTGAAAAACCCCAAGCCAGGCCATGCCCACTTCTCCCCATCTCCCAGCAATGATAGGTAGACATTGGACTGCACACTGAATCAAAGAGGGGTTGGGTTGACCAGAATAAAAGGAGCCAATTTAAATGAAGGTCCTGTTTCAGTCCTCTGGGGATTCCAGGGGTGTATAAAAGAGACCTGAAGTAGGTCTGTCTTAGCAGACCTCTGGGGTGTCTGCACCATGGCCTCAATGCTACTGCTCTCTTGCTCCTTCACTGTATGGATGAGGACAGTCCTCTGCATCCTTATTCCCAGCTCACTCAAACATCTTTGCAAGTATATGCCATTAATATTCTCTCATTTCTCTCCCTATTCCAGTACATAACGAGTTTCTGTGTCTTCAGGGTCCCTCACCCAGCCTGTGCTGACAGAGTTGCCTTCCATATCTGCCTCACTGGGAGACTCAGCCAAGCTCACTTACACCCTGAGCAGTAAGCACAGCACCTTCTACATTTCACAGTATCAGCAGCAGCCAGAGAAGGTCCCTCTGTATGTGATGTGTCTTCACAGTGATGGAAGCCAGAACAAGGAAGACAGGATCCCTGATTTCTTCTAAGGCTCTAGCTTGGAGGCTGACCACTACTTAGGTATCTCCAACATCAAGTCTGAGGATAAAGCTAAATATATCTGTGGTGTAAAGTATAAGATCAGAGAAACATGCTTAAAGCACAGTGACCCAGATGAATATGATGGGGGGATAAAAGTGTTTTTGCTCCCTTGTTACCAAGGTTGTCATGGGGTTCTTAAAAGTGGCTTCTGCTTTGAAACTTTAACAGTGCTGGATGTTTTCTTCTTATTTCTCAAGAGCAGAGCCATAGATAAATGGATTTCTGTTGTGACCTATTTGGGAAGTAGGTGGCTGGGCTGGGATTGTATAGAATGCAGTGCTTCATGGTACTGATGAACATGTAAAAATAAAACCTGGTATGTATATGGTGTAGTTATCTGGGGGAGAATGAGTAGTGTCCTTTCCTGATTGGAACACCAGGACTGAGGATCTCACTCTTACCTTATACAAATTTATTTCAGTAATAATAACTTCCTTAATTTCTGAACTAAAGATTTTAGAATTCTTCCTAGAATTCTAGAAATTACAAGGTAAAAACAATTGAGTGGGTTGGAGAGAGTGAGAGAATGTGCATGCATAGCGGGAATAAAAGCTCTGACATCCTTTGGCTTTGTATGAAGTCATGGGGGAATTTATGTCAGGTGCTTAGCACCTGGGATTTGGGAGAGAGGGACATGGAGGAAAGAAAAATCACATGACAGTGAAGCTGGCAATCAATGCACACCTTGATAACCATGAAGAAATTGAGAAAAAAATTATTAAATCTGCCTTGAAATCCCTGAGATTGATTTCAGGAGTCTGTGGTAAATTCAAATAGACATATTGCAGCTGAGAGGAGTCCTGTGCAGGCAGAAACTTTCCTGGCATTTTCTCCCCTCTCACCCAATGCTTCACTTCCAGGGCTTTCCCTCCTCAACTGACACTGGGCCACAGGACCACATGCAGCTCTGAGAGCAGCTCAGGGAATTGTAAACTTGACTCCCATGTTTCCACATGAAAATTATCAGATCTCACTTTTCAGCCTCTCTTTCCTTTCCAATGTGATATCCAGCCAGCTAGAAACATAAGATAAATGCCTCCTTCTTTTAAATCATTATTTTCTAGGCTACACCTTTTGAAGAATCCCTATAGACTTTTAGGTCATACAAAGATTGTCAATAGGTTTAATATAAATCACAATGTTAATGACATGAAAGTAGATAAATCAATAGGTGGCTCCTGTGATCTTATTTAATGGAGTTTCTCAAGGGAAAATTGACTCATTTTAATTTCAGATGTTGTAAATTACTGAGCTAACATGGTTTCTGGTCTAGGGGCCTCACAACCTGGCAATATTTTAAAAACTACAATGTCTGTGCTTCACTTAAGATTAAATAAATTTATCCAGCGGGATACGGTTGAGTAATGTTATTATAAAAAACTCATGCTTAAAATGTTCAACCAGAATAGATGGATGCCTGCGGCATTTGAGTTTCAGTTAAGCAGTATGTCTTTTGGGTCTCAAAATCATGCAGATATTTTATTATTATTATCACTGGGAAGATTCTTTACCTAGTTCATTGTCTCTGTTAAACAGGCCATGGAGCAGGAGAAATATGGTAGAAGAAAAGGACAAAGGGTAGACTCTGAAACCATGTCTTGCATCATGCCCTGAAAGTTTGTATTGAAAATAAAAGTAGTATAATTTTTGAATATATCAAAAACAAGTTCAGTTTTTAGTGAGTGAGGCAGTGGAATTACTCTTTTTTATTTTTTTTGGTGCTGGGATTGAACTGAACTGAGCTATATCCCTAGCTCCCGGAATATCTCTTTTGTAATTTATCAAGCCTGTGCTGCAACAAAAACAGTGAATTCTGACAGATGAAAATGAGTTCTTATAAACACAAATATCCTTCTAATTAGAGCTGCTGTCCTTGAGGTACTGTATTTGCTATAGCAAAATAATACAGCCTCAATTGCATGGTTTTGAACATCAATCTGGGGTCGGGGGCATGCTTTTCCAAGCAATGAATAAGCAATACGCATAGTACCAGAAGCAATTAAAACATTTAAGTATGGTCACATGTATACTTAAAATCTTGTGATAAGACTCAAAGAAAGACTGGACAAGGTTCATCCACGGGAAGTACCCATTTATTGAGGAACAGCTTTGCACATTTATAGAGCCATGGGCAGTTCAACAGAGCAGGGTATTGGCACAGGGTGCTTTCTGATTGGTGGGTAAGGATCATGAGGGTCAGCAGGGCTCACCATTGGGCGTCTTTCTTGCCGCTGTCTCTGGGCATGGGGAAGTTAGTACCGGAAGAGAAGCACGGTCGGCGCCATCTTTGGAGCCGGGGTGACTCCCAACAAAGACTATGTTAAATTTTTCTATTGTGAGGGATTCCAAGATGGCCACGAATAGAGTGCATCACACCCCATGTACCCCAACACTGCGCAGGTGAATAATGAGTTAGAATGACAAAAAGCTATCTTGTCAGGAATTTACGGCAAAATCGGGGTGCACCGAAACCTAGAGGAAGGTTTTCCATCACCGAGGACTGGTTATTGAGTCTCAAACGCGAGCCAACTGTGCGACTAGAGATCCAGGCTGACTGATCCGCCACTCGCCACGCTGCCAGCCCCGTGGCTACAGACGGCGGGGCGCCGCTGAGAAGCGACAAGCAAGCAGAGAGAAACAGTGCTACGGATTCTGTGGAGTCCTGCCGGCTATGCCCTCACTGAGCTCCGGGCTGAGTTCAGGGTTTGAGATGGGGAAGGAAGCGGTCCAGTTCTATCCCCCACAACGGAAAGTCCACCAAGGAAGCCAGCGGCCACCATCTTGGAGAGCTGACATCACCACCGCCAGTTTCCGACAGATTGCAACAATAAAACAGGTGTGTGTTACTCAGACCATCTCCCATACAGCAGGGAATTCGCATAAAATCTCCGAGGCTTTCTGGGGGAGGGATTATCAGAATGAGCCTGCATAGAGACTCGGGGAAAGGTAGAGACACCTGACCTCCAACTCCCCCTCCCATCAGCGGAGAAAACGAAACCTGTCTTGCCAGCTCTGGGGGAGGGGCAAGCGGAAAAAATCAAAACAATAGGGTGCTGATTCCCAATAGCCACCCTCCACACCCAGCAAACCACAGGCCCAGAGTACAGTTTGAACTGCCGAGAGGCATCACACAGGGGAAGGCTGGGCTAGCAGGAGAAGCCAGGGGACTAGAGGCCAGGCCCTCGCAACTGGGTGGCTAGAGACCGCCTGCCCGCCAGCGACTAACCGCCCACCCACTGCCCGCGTGACTGGGCGGCTGGAGACTGCCCGCCCGCAGGCGACCGCCCTCAGGCCCCGTGACTGGGCGGCTGGAGACTGGGTGGCTGGAGACCGACTGCCTGCCCAACAGCGACCACTCGCACGACTGGGCGGCTAGAGACTGCTCGCCTGCTGGCGACCGCCCACCAGCTGCCCGCGCGACTGGGTGGCTAGAGACCGCCCACCCGCAGGCTACCACCCACGGCCCCTGCGACTGGGCGGCTGGAGACTGGGCGGCTTGAGACTGATGGCCCACCCGCCCACTGGCAACCGGGCGGCTAGACCCTGAGGTACCCAGAAGGTACGGCCAGAGACTCTAGGAAGAGGTCTATAGCCAGGCCTTCATGAAGTAGACAACTGGGAGCTGAAACCAACCAGAGACAGACCAGTACCACCCCTCCTGTCGGACACCTGGCAAGGAGCCTTGGGCCCGCCATAGCAGAGAGGTGACGTCACCAGAGTTCAGCCGACGGAATTCCCTACCAGCAGAATCCACTTTAGCAGGAGAGAGCAGAAACACAGCAATCAAACAGAGCTGGAAAGTAACGTGAACAACATGAAAAGACAAGGGAAAAAGGATTACAAACAATGCAGGACAACTTAAATCTACAGGAGGACCTAGAAGCATCAGAAACATGGATAGGGAAAGAACTCAAGGCATACCTAACTCAGATGGAATGGAATATTAGAGAAGACATGAGACAGCAAGTCCAAGCAAGGAAAGTGTATTTTGAACTTTCATTGGAAAGTATATTTTTTGTTTAAGGGATTAAACAAAAAAATTCAAATGGCAAAGAATGAGCTTTACCAGGAGATAGAGATTTTTTTTTAAAAAAAATCAAACAGTAATCCTAGAAATGCAGGAAACTATAAACCAAATTAAAAACTCAAACGAGAATATTACAAATAGACTAGATCAAGTAGAAGTCAGAACATCAGATAAAGAAGACAAAGTTTATCAACTTGAAAAGAATATAGTCAACACAGAAAGGATGCTTAAATCTCACGAGCAATCTATTCAAGAGATATGGGATGCCATAAAAAAACCAAACTTGAGAGTCATCAGAATAGAAGAAGGTATAGAGGTTCAAACCAAAGGAATGGACAAACTATTAAATGAAATAATCCTAGAAAACTTCCCAGAGATGAAAAATGGAATGGATTGCCAAATCCTGGAAGCTTACAGGACCCCAAATATTCAAAACCGTAATAGACCAACTTCAAGACATATAATTATGAAGATAGCCAACATACAGAACAAGGAGAGAATATTAAAAGCTACGAGAGAAAGGAGGCAGATTACATTCAGGGGTAAACCAATTAGGTTAACGGCTGATTTTTCATCACAGACTTTGAAAGCGAGAAGATCCTGGAACAATGCATTTCAAACGCTGAAAAATAATGGATTCCAACCAAGAATACTGTATCCAGCAAAATTAAGTTTCAGATTTGACAATGAAATTAAAATCTTTCACGATAAACAAAAGCTAAAAGAATTCGCAGCCAGAAAACCAACACTGCAAAGCATTTTGAGCAAAATACTACAAGAAGAGAAATTGAAAAATAGCGCCCAAAACTAAAGTGGGAGGTATCTCAGTAAAGGGGGAGAAAAATAACCAAAGAGGAAAAACTAGCCAAACTAAAATAAATAAATAAATAAACATGACTGGAAGTACAAACCATATTTCAATTGTAACCTTAAATGTTAATGGCATAAATTCACCAATCAAGAGACATAGGCTAGTAACCTGGATTAAAAAAACAAATCCAACAATATGCTGCCTTCAGGAGATGCATATGATAGGAAAAGACACACACAGGCTGAAGGTGAAAGGTTGGGAAAAATCATACCACTCACATGGCCCTTGGAAGCAAGCAGGAGTGGCCATACTCATATCGAATAATATCAACTTCAAACCTAAGTTAATCAAAAGGGATAAAGAAGGACACTATATACTGTTAAAAGGAACCATCCACCAACAAGACATAACAATTATCAATTTGTATGCACCAAACAATGGTGCTGCAATGTTCATAAAACAAACTCTCCTCAAGTTCAAGAGTCAAGTAGACCACAACACAATAATTAGGGGTGACTTCAACACACCGCTCTCTCCATTGGACAGATCCTCCAGACAAAAGCTGAATAAAGAAACTATAGAACTCAATAACGCAATCAATAACCTAGACTTAACCGACATATATAGAATACATCAACCATCATCAAGTGGATACACGTTCTTCTCAGCAGCACATGGATCCTACTCAAAGATAGACCATATATTATGCCATAGGATAACTCTTAGTAAATATAAAGGTGTGAAGATAATACCATGCACCATATCTGATCATAATGGAATGAAACTGGAAATCAATGATAAAAGAAGGAAGGAAAAATCCTGCATCACCTGGAAAATGAACAATATGTTACTGAATGATCAATGGGTTACAGAAGATATAAAGGAGGAAATAAAAAATTTCTTAGAGATAAATGACAATACAGACACAACATACCAGAATCTATGGGACACAATGAAAGCAGTTTTAAGAGGGAAATTCATTTCCTGGAGTTCTTTCCTCAAAAAAAGAAAAAATCAACAAATAAATGAACTCACACTACATCTCAAAACCCTAGAAAAGGAAGAGCAAAACAACAGCAAATGCAGTAGAAGATAAGAAATAATTAAAATCAGAGCAGAAATCAACGAAACTGAAACAAAAAAAAATTGAAAAAATTGATAAAACTAAAAGTTGGTTCTTTGAAAAATAAGATCGACAGGCCCTTAGCCATGCTAATGAAGAGGAGAAGAGAGAGAACTCAAATTACTAACATACGGGATGAAAAAGGCAATATCACAACAGACACTACAGAAATACAGAAGATATTTAGAAAGTATTTTGAAACCCTATATCCTAATAAAATAGAAGACAGTGAAGATATCGATAAATTTCTTAAGTCATATGATCTGCCCAGATTGAGTCAGGAAGACACACACAATTTAAACAGACCAATAACAAAGGAAGAAATAGAAGAAGCCATGAAAAGACTACCAACCTAGAAAAGCCCTGGACCGGATGGGTATACAGCGGAGTTTTACAAAACCTTCAAAGAAGAATTAATACCAATACTTTTCAAGCTATTTCAAGGAATAGAAAAAGAAGGAGCTCTTCCAAATTCATTCTATGAGGCCAACATCACCCTGATCCCGAAACCAGACAAAGACACTTCAAAGAAGAAAACTACAGACCAATATCTCTAATGAACTTGGATGCAAAAATCCTCAATAAAATCCTGGCGAATCGAATACAAAAGCATATCAAAAAAATTGTGCATCATGATCAAGTAGGATTCATCCCTGGGATGCAAGGTTGGTTCAATATACGGAAATCAATAAATGCTTTCACCACATCAATAGACTTAAAGATAAGAACCATATGATCATCTCGATAGATGCAGAAAAAGCATTCGACAAAGTACAGTATCCCTTTATGTTCAAAACACTAGAAAAACTAGGGATAACAGGAACTTACCTCAACATTGTAAAAGCTATATATGCTAAACCTCAGGCTAGCATCATCCTAAATGGAGAAAAACTGAAGGCATTCCCTCTAAAATCTGGAACAAGACAGGGATGCCCTCTATCACCACTTCTATTCAATTTAGTTCTTGAAATACTAGCCAGAGCAATTAGACAGACAAAAGAAATTAAAGGCATAAAAAAAGGAAAAGAAGAACTTAAATTATCACTATTTGCAGATGATATGATAATATATCTAACAGACCCAAAAGGGTCTAGAAAGAAACTGCTAGAGTTAATAAATGAATTCAGCAAAGTGGCAGGATATAAAATCAACACGTATAAATCAAAGGCATTCCTGTATATCAGCAACAAAACTTCTGAAATGGAAATGAGGAAAACCACTCCATTCACAATATTCTCAAAGAAAATAAGATACTTGGGAATCAACCTAACAAAAGAGGTGAAAGATTTATACAATGAAAACTACAGAAACCTAAAGAGAGAAGTAGAAGAAGATCTTAGAAGATGGAAAAATGTACCCTGTTCATGGATAGGCAGAACTAACATCATCAAAATGGCGATATTACCCAAAGTTCTTTACAGGTTCAATGCGATGCCAATTAAAATCCCAATGGCATTTCTTGTAGAAATAGATAAAGCAATCATGAAATTCATATGGAAAAACAAAAGACCCAGAATAGCAAAAGCAATCCTAAGCAGGAAGTGTGAATCTGGAGGTATAGCGATACCAGAGTTCAAACTGTACTACAAAGCAATAGTAACAAAAACAGCATGGTACTGGTACCAAAACAGGCAGGTGGACCAATGGTACAGAATAGAGGACACAGAAACCAATCCACAAAATTACAACTTTCTTATATTTGATAAAGGGGCTAAAAGCATGCAATGGAGGAAGGATAGCATCTTCAACAAATGGTGCTGGGAAAACTGGAAATCCATATGCAACAAAATGAAGCTGAACCCCTTTCTCTCGCCATGCACAAAAGTTAACTCAAAATGAATCAAAGAGCTTGATATCAAATCAGAGACTCTGCACCTGATAGAAGAAAAAGTTGGCTCTGATCTACATATTGTGGGGTCGGGCTCCAAATTCCTTAATAGGACACCCATAGCACAAGAGTTAATAAGAAGAATAAACAAATGGGACTTACTTAAACTAAAAAGTTTTTTCTCAGCAAGAGAAACAGTAAGAGAGGTAAATAGGGAGCCTACACCCTGGGAACAAATCTTTACTCCTCACACTTCAGATAGAGCCCTAATATCCAGAGTATACAAAGAACTCAAAAAATTAGACAATAAGAAAACAAACAACCCAATCAACAAATGGGCCAAGGACCTGAACAGACACTTCTCAGAGGAGGACATACAGTCAATCAACAAGTACATGAAAAAATGCTCACCATCTCTAGCTATCAGAGAAATGCAAATCAAAACCACCCTAAGATACCATCTCACTCCAGTAAGATTGGCAGCCATTATGAAGTCAAACAACAACAAGTGCTGGCGAGGATGTGGGGAAAAGGGTACACTTGTACATTGCTGGTGGGACTGCAAATTGGTGAGGCCAATTTGGAAAGCAGTATGGAGATTCCTGGGAAAGCTGGGAATGGATCCACCATTTGACCCAGCTATCGCCCCTCTCGGACTATTCCCTGAGGATCTTAAAAGAGCGTACTATAGGGATACTGCCACATCAATGA